TGCTCAAATATTTGACAGAGGGTTAGGCTTTGGCCTGACTTTGGGACTTGAACCTATATGGGATACGATATGCATAGCAAAGACTAACTTTATTTATTCATATTGGATTCAATTTCAAGGGAAACTGTAGACAGAGGACCTTAGCAATGACTGTGTTACAATCCATCCGTTTGCAACATCAATGTATAATTTCCTTTGTAAAATAGGTATTAATTAAAGATAATTGTTTCTTAACTCATTCAAAATTGTTGTTCTAAAGTTAACGGTGAATTTGTGTAGCAGTATGCGCAATTGGATATATTACTACATTTTTTACTTAACATTTAATGCTTCATGACAGAACTGAATGGCAAATTTTTATTTAATGATTGTATAAAAATTAATAAAATACACAATGCATCTTTGTGTGTTTCAGTATATGCAAAATGAGTTATTAATATAAAAAATTAAGGATTCTGCTGATACATTAACATTATGAATACTAAAGCTTTATAATTTAAGACTTCTTTTTGGCTTCTTCAAGCTTCTTTCCGAATGCAGCAGCTTTAGCTGCCAACTTTTCAGAGATAAATTTCGAATCTGCTACGAATTCCTTATAATTATTGTTCCAAACATCAAGGAAGTCTGGTAGTGGTAAACCGTCTTTCTTTGCGGCTTCCGTTACCGAATCGTGAAATGAGTTGAGGAATTCGTCATACTTATTATTGATTTTAATCAAATCTTTCGAGAGACCTGCGTATAAATCCTTAAATCTCACACCATCGGTGTATAAGTTGGGACCTATTTTAGTATCGCATCTCTTAACGGGAGACGCTTGAGTCACAACGGCAACAAATATTAAAAAAATGGAGAGTATTGAAATAGATTTCATGATTGTTAATGGATAAAGTGGCACAGGAGAATTTATAACGCAGGAACGTAGGGATAAAAGAGCACAGCTCTGATAAGGTGAATTCAATAACGATGGTTTTGAATAGACAAAGCCAAGAATTAGTGTTATTTATAAGGTTTTTTTAATATATATAAGGAACACTATAGACAATTTGCTTTATGGTAAACCATGCGTTGATTAGATTAACGACGCGGAGGTTCGAGAGTTGATTTCACATGATTCCCATAATCCCCATAATCTATCTTTCTAAATTAAAGTTATTCGAAGTAAATGATCTATAAGCGATTTTCTCACCCGCATGTTTCATTTAGGTAATCCTATTCTCACCCATACACCATATGTTTCATTTACGCAATTCAAAACAGATGTGCGGTTATAAAAGAATTCGAGAAAATTGTATTTTTAATTTAATGAATTATCATTAAAATAAAATAATCCAATATATGGGTTGGTACACAGCAAAACCATGCTTTGAAAGGTTTTAACAAAAATTGAAATTTTTAGTGGATTATACTCCCGAGAACGTCCTTTATCTGTGATAAAAGTTTGGACATATATTAATATATTATAATTTGGTACAATCTCGCACGCAGTTTTTTAATTTTATATGGCTCGATATATTAATTTAAATTGATATCCCCAAATAAGGATTTTGTCTCAGAGCATGGTTTTGCTGTGTACCAACCCATATAATGTTAATAAAAATTTTAATTTTTTAAAAAATAATTCGATAAAATAGTTTACACGAAAAATTTAAAATAATTGATTTCAAAGTATATGTATTGTATATACTGTGAATAATAATTATTAAAGTAATAATTTTTGAATATATTAATAATTAATGGTTCTAAAAAGATATAGATTTTTTTGTATACAATACAGATCAACTCAATTCCCTAAAATTAAGCTTATTATTAATTGATGACCGTAGGTAGGGATGTTAATTGGTCCTTTAGGATTGGATCCCATCCGATCTTTTCAGAAATAATCCTAAACCAATCTTTTGTCGATCCTTAAATCATAAAGTCATGTGATTTTAAATGTACTCCTTTAATTAATATCTAATTGTTTTTAAATTATATCTAATAATTGAATATTTCACATATTGTCGAAATAAACAAAGTATTAAAAAATATTATAATTATTGAGTAAATAATGATAAAAGAAATATTTTTATGTAAAATTAATTTATTTACTCTTATGAAAACCAAAGAATTTAAAATCTATTTATCAAATAATAGAACAAATCAAAAATAAAAAAAAAAAGTACTCATTCATAATTATCTTGAATCAACTTCAAATAGAAACAACATATGTAAGCTATGTAAACAGGAATTTAATAAATTAACAGCAATAACAACTATTGATAGATATTTTAAGAACTTTTATTCTTTAGAATTTATTCAAATAAATTAAAACAAATTTAAATGATTTAATCCATATACAATTCCAATGACAAGTTAAAAGTAGATACCTTAAACAATAAACTTTTAGAATGGATTATCAATAATCAACAAGTATTTTTGATGGTTAAAAATAAAAAATTTTTGAATTGGATAAAAAAACTCAATTCATATTACAAACTTTCTTGTTACCAAACTCTTTTAACTTGAATTAATCGAAATTATAATACAAAATAAAATCAAATTAAGAATTTCTTAAGTACAATTTTTTCAAAAGTAACAATTATAATATATGGATAAAAGTTATATATGCAACAATCATATATTAGCATAATAATATATTGGATTAGTATAACATAGGAAATATATCAAGTTTTATTTGACTTTATATCATTTGATAATAACCATATTGTTATTAATTTAAGTAACAAAATTATTCAATTTTTAAAAGAAATAAATATTGAAAATAAGCTTTTAGGAATTATTACAAATAATACCTTAATACAATTGCAATGGATCAAATTTTTAAAAAAAAAGTTTTTAATAAATTTAAAAATACCAATATTCAACATTTTTGCTGTGCTGCATATATTTTCAATATTGATATTGAAGAAGAAATAAAATTAATTAGTAAAGGAATTAATAAAATATAAGAATTTTCTATCAAACTTTGAAATTCCTTTTTATTACTTTAAGAATTAAAAAAATTTTTTAATATTTGAAACCAATGTTAAAACACAATATTGAAATACTATATAATAAAATAATATATATATAATATTAAAAAAACTTCAACAAATTCAATATATAACCAATATTCTTATTGCAAGTAATTAAATATTAAAATTAAATTATCTTACTAAGTTAGAATGGAAAAATATTATATTAAGTATATTTAACTATAAGATAAAAAAGGGTAATTTGATGAATAGGGGTAATTTAATAAATTGTAAGATTTATAAATATATTATAATCACAGAGTTATAATATATTTTTATTTATTTCCAATTCGCCATATTACCCCTACTTATAACAAGCAAAGTTTTAGTTACTATTTTCAGCTGCAAGAAGGTATTGTTTATATACTATTTATGCGATACCCTTATAGTACTTATGCATCATCTATACAAATATGCTTACAATAATTTTAAGTGAAATTTCAGTACTATAATAATTTATATTGTTTAAGTAGATTTTTAGATTTTGTTTTGGTATATAGAAATTGAAAAATCAAATAAAAATATAATTAAAAAATAAAAAAAAATGTTAAAAATAGTAATTATTTTATTTAATAAAAAACTCTTTCTGCTGATTTATTTACCAACCCAAAAAACAGATGTTCTCAAAAGATTTTATATCTTTTTGATAATAAAGTCTATACACTTTCCTTAA